TCAAATGGGCAGCATCGTTCCCTAGGCTGGGGTCCCGGGCTCAATAAAAAGGAGAAAGTGAGCTGAGCACCAGCCTCCATCTCTCTGCTTCCTGACTGGGGTTGTCATGTGACCAGCCACCTCACATTCTTGTTGCTATGCTTACTGGCCATGATGGACTGCACTCTCAGACTCTGAGCTCAAACCAACCCTTTCTTCCTTCAGTTGCTTTTGTTGGGTATTTTATTTTGACAGTACCCCTTTCCCCATAGCACGATCTTCTAAACTGCTGTTGGGTCCTCTGGGAATGGCCAAGGCTAATGTGACTGTTGCTGTCCCCACAGGCACTGGTGCCATCACACGGGGACAAGGACAGTGTCCTGCCAGGTGCAGAACGGCTCCGAGACGGTGGTCCAGCGAGTCTACCAGAGCTGCCGGTGGCCTGGGCCCTGTGCCAACCTTGTGAGGTAAAGGCACCCAGGGTGCCCTGCTCTGCCTTGCCTTTCTGTCCCCTTGCATGGTATGACCCAAGTACAGTTCTGGGGTTGGCTGGTTTGATGCTTGAAGAGGAGACTGGAGCCCAGATTCTGGGTATAGGGAGTGAGGTGTACATGCCACCAGGATTGTTGGGAGAGGGGTCAGAGCAGGTGGTGACAGGTGGTGCTAACGAAAAAAGTAAATAAACTACATTTATCTAAAAGCTTGGAAATCCAGCTTTTAGAGGCTCCTCCTGAGGCTTCCATAATTAGTCCTCTTACAGCCACATCCTCCCACAACCACACCCTCTAACAGCCAAACCTTCCCACAGCCATTGCCTCCACCAGCCAAGCCCTCTTGTGGTTCTGCATCTCATAGCCACAGCCACAGCCACACCCTTCAACAACCACGCCCCCTTAAGGCCGCACCCACGCTGCCCCCCCCTTAAGTGTACCCACACCCAGCCATTCTCCTCTCATGTCTCTCTCAGCTCCACCTTCTCACAGCCCAGCCATCTTGGAGATTTCCCTTGATGTCTCATTGGCTAGGAGTCACTCTGAAAGCCTAGGTTCTCCCCTTTAAAACGGAGGGAAGAGAATGCGGCCTCAAGATACTGCTGGAGGAGGAGATGAGGCTCCATGATGGAAGTCCCGTCATCAACTCTGAGGCAGAGGCTCTTGATGTGTGTGGCGAGAGCTTAGAAGCCAACTCCAGGCCCTCAGCCCCCAGGCAGCTCCTGGTGCGGTTCAGGCCTGGGCATGCCGTGTGCCTGCATTCCTCATTCTGAGGTTAGGGAAGCAAATGCTAGCAAGACCCCCACCCCACCCCGAGCTGACTCGGGCCTATTCGTTCGCTTAGAATCCCCGTTGCTCAGTGTGTCTGGCCACGTTTCAACCGCAGCATTTACATAGCACCGTTCAGGTTTCCGTATTTCTTGTCTGTTTCTCCTTCCCATTTTTCTTGAAGCTGTGTGGGGCCCAATCTTGGTTCTTCCATCCTTTGAAGCATTCCTGGATGCCT